CCTATTGAGCAACAACTTTACGTCCCAAACGCCTTCCTTGCCCGCCCGCCCACAAACGGACGACCGTTTCTGACGCTCGTATTCATTCATTTGCTGAGCAAATTATGAAGCAAAGGGATTGGTATGAAGCGGCGGTGATGCTGCATGCATATATGGGTACAAAATGCATGCCAGCGTATCTTCGGTAGCGGTGATTGGCAAGATGCGTACGGGAAACTCGTCCGAAATCGATTTACAAGTCACTGAGAACGAAGGCTTTTTCTTCGCCGGATTTGACCGTTTCACTGTTCTTTCCGCTCATTTCCCCACTAATATAGCTCCCTATTAGCATTTTAGGCAAAGTAGGAAACCATCGTGCCAACTGCCTTTATGTGGTCATGATGTTTTCAAAATGAGTGAGTGGTGTGGTGGTAGACGTGTAGTTCTCCCAAAGTGGAAGCTGCTCCGTCGCTTTGTTTGTTTGTTTGTTTGTTTGTTCAGAAAACCCGGTTTTGACTGAAGAGAGACCTGGACAGCTCGGGTCAGGGTTGGGATGGGTAGAGCACGGTACAAGATGCGAGCACGTGTGAGCCAAGACCGTTCATGGTGAGGGGGCGTTCATCGGCAGTGAGCGGTGTCATGGGCAAAAATTTTTTCTTCGGTTGTAGAAGCGACTAAAAAAGACGGTCAGACTCCGTAACTCTGACGAGATGAGGGGACACACTTGCGATGGGCAATGCTTGCTACAAAATTCAAAACTTAGTCCTGAAACAGCTTGGAAAAAGAAAATCGGTGGAGAAGGGAAGCGTGCAAGGAAATTCAAGCCTGTCGAAGGTGTGCTGAGACAGTGTTAGCGTGCCCTCAAGCGGAAGGTTTTGAAAAAGTGTAATTCGCTTACAAAGCAGCCCAGCGATCCGAGAAGAAGCGTAATCAAGTGAGCTAGGGGTTGGCGGATGAGATAAGAGGGATACACCTGCAGTGGGTGTAGCATGCGCTAACACGAACGGGCTAAAATCGTAGGCTTGTAGATTTCTTCCACAGTAGTAGAGACCAATCTGCTCTATTCAAGCTGCAAAGAAAATCCTGAACCGTGCGGTCCCTCTACCTACCGTGTACTAGTCAGTAAAAATTCGTCTGCAATATGAAGTAAAAACCTGATTCGGAATGAAGGTTGACTGGTGCATCAAAGGCATTGTGAGTAGTCGAGTATGCGTTTATGAGGTCGCTGCTATTCTGAAGAGATTTCGTAACCAGTGGTGTCTTCTCTGCTTAATTTTTGGATCCCTACCCAATCATCCAGGCCTTTCACCCTCCTTCCCGAGTTGGGCAATTTTATCTCGTATAGTTGTAAGAGTTAACTGCATTCTGGGAGGTTGAAACTTCAACTTGTACATCTTTTGGGTTCCGCAGGTCATTACATGGGCCAAGTTCCATACAATATAAGATAACACGTTGACGACATGCGCGTTTTTACTTTTTGGCCGCGTGGGACACGCGCGTTTTCTCGAACGCAACCAGCGCGGTACACACATAGTTCAGACGATCCCACAGGCGCTTTTGGAAATTGGATCGGAAAACTGGATTAGAGCGCAGTTATGAAGTAAGTTAATACTTCAGTATAGAAAAAACCTGGCTGGCTAACTCTCGTTGCACTAGATGCCAGAAATTCGTCCGCAACCAATGTTTTCATAAAAAAGGTGTCGTGCCCTCTATAGCGTTCAGAATCCTTCACCCTATAATTTTGACCATTATCAACATTGTATCGATCAGCATTTCTCAGCTAAGTGTTGGAGAGCAAACCATTCCAGTGTTGAAGAGCAAATCAATCCACTTGACAAATGCCGATGATCTTTACCCAAAAAGTATTTGCTAAACTAGTGTGTACTGAATTATTCCATGGACTACGCATAGTACGAGTACACCAGGGTCTGAACTATACAATGATTAAGAGAAACTAACTAAAAAACCATGCACTGTTGAAAGATATGGATTTGTTGATCGTGAGTTGTATAGTATGCACGCTGTCCCACATGGCCTACAACGCGTGCATTCAATGTGTCTCACGCTGTCGTCATGTTGGATAATAGTCAACAGGGATTCTGAAACATGGTTATGTGAATTATCCGCATGCTCACAAGAGTGCATAGACCTTGAAAAGCTTATCCTTTTCATAACTCTGAATATGAAGCTTGAGAAAGTACTGTACGATTGCAAAGAACTTTCGGGAATGAATGCTGCTTTGCAGTGGTTTTTTCAGGGATATTTTCATTTACTATTCTTTTGATAAGTATGCTCTAGATCAGTCGAAGTTATCCGGCCTAACTCAAGTCACACAGCTCGCAAAAGCGGTATGTGCGGATGAAGAGCTCATCAATGAGTTGGAGAAGTGGACAGTCCCGGTGTTCCCTGTAAAAGGTGCGGTGCGCTCCAGTTTTATTGATTTTTGCGGATTGTGAGGTCAACTTAATAGTTCTTCTGACCAAATTCTTTACGACTTGGCCTTTAGAGAAATTTTATTGTTGTCACTTTTACCACTAAAAGGACGTTTCAGGTCTCGATCTGATGAATGCTGGTGTGAAGAAAGGTCCGAAGATGAAATTGACGCTCACATATTTGTTTGCACTATGGCAAAAGGTCAGTGAAACCTACCTACAAAGACACGTCATATAGATAAAATCACAGGTGAAGACACGCTCCGCCGTAATCGGATGGGCGGAGAATTGCAATCATTTTGCCGTCCTCATTGGAGCGCCACTTTTCGAAATACAGTAAAGAGGAGGGATACGCCAATGAGGAAGGCGCAATGGTTGTGAGTCTGCGCTCATTCGATCAACGCAAAATGCACACTTTAGCTTTACTAGTGGGATAGTGGTGCTTTAGAAATGGGAATCACATGTCGCGTGAGCATCTATACCCCGACATCCACATCCATCTCTCACCTTTCGATACCATCCTCCACCGATACACACTCCGTATCCCGGAGATGGTGAGGGCGGGGCTGCGTACTTCTTTCGAACATGGCGCAGCTGCCCTTTCGGTGAGATATTGCCATTTAGGGACAACTATATGTCTTTCTCCAGCATAGGGCAGAATGACAATTACTCTAGCTGGATATATTTCAAGAAAAGAATCATCCATCATCCCACGCCCTGTTCAAATGAAGTACACAGCCAAATCCCTTTCCCCTAGGTCCGGGAGCTGTAATGACACCTGAACACTGCATCACGAGATGAACCAGTTCACGTCAGGGCTACTCCTTCCCCCTGAGATCTGTTTTTAGGGTGCGATCCTTCCTTCCCATCCTACTCACCATTTTCAACTTGCCTATGAATTTTTCATAGGGAGACGCGATCAACGGTTAGAAAGAGTTCCTCTTGCGATAGCATATTTTTCCCTCTCTCTCCAGCGCCAAATACGTGAGCAGTGCCCCTCCCCCCTCCCCTACAACACGTTGTGAGCCTGCCTCATGAAAACAAGGTTTCTGGCATGGAAATCACGACATCTGTACGTGGACCCCCGTTGTGCTTTCGAACCTTCTGTTTCCTGTAGGGTTGCCAATAGTGAGGCGCATTTCATGGGGTTCTGTGAGACTGGATGTATAATATTAGGGTGATGGGAAAGTTGTGTCACATTTTTTCGAAATCAAATTCTTTTTATAGAACAGTATATTATAATGATCCAATATAAGAAAGCGTGACACCTGGCTAGATTCCTGCCATGCTTTTTTGAAGAACACCTTTGGGATGCCTCGCCTTCAGCAGACCGGGCCGACTCAAAGTGTGGACATTTAATTCTGATTTCAATTGGTTTCGGGTTCGTGGGGTTTCTCTTTTATAGCATATTTCACTATACGCGTGGTAGGGACGGAGGGAGACAACAACAATGAAGGAGACAATTTTCGGTTATTAGCGGTCATTAAAGGTGAGGCGCATTCAGCTCGGCCTGAAGCTGACGTTCGGCTCGGCCTTAGAGGGTATGGGCCTGCACTTGTTTACATGTCTCATCAGTTGCGGACTGGCAGAGGTGCACAGCCGCACTGCAGGTGTGAGCGCGGGCAGGCGTTCTACGGCCTCGGCTGACGGCTGCTATCAGGCTGATTTCCATGAAATTCGGCTGCGAATTCCCACTTTTTCAACTCTTCGAGCTTCGAAAGTGGAAGGTGAGTTATTTTGAGCAATTTTAAATTGTACTGACTCTGAATGAATCTGAAAGAATGCAAGCCATTTGAATAAATGCCTGAAATAAGGCAAAATACAAGGAAAAGAGCATATAATCGACATAAAAATAAAGGAAATCAGAGCCAGTACAATTCAAAATTGTTCAGAATAACCCACTTTCTACGTTAGAAGTTTGAATAGCTGAAAAAGTAGGAATTTGCAGCCGAATTCCATCGAAATCAGCTGATTCACCGTCACCGAGCCGCAGCCGCTGTCGCGTCACAGTGCAGCGCGGCTGTGCTGCCGCCCCGACAGTCCGTAATGATGAGGACTGTATTTGAAGCAATGTGCTACAAATTTTCCGCCATCTGATTGTGAATTCACCTCCAGATCTGCGGTAGCTGCTTTGTAATAGGAGTTGGTTGAGGAAAGCAAGCTTCGTCATCCAGTGGTTCACGAACCCGTTAGCTCCCACAAGCCTGAAAAACTTTGAGGCCTGGCGCTTCGAAGCATTAGCGGTTCGTGGGGACATGTCCGATCGTTTAGCGTCATCTCCTTTTGCCAGCTCTTATTATCCCTCCGGCCCCATGCTCGCGTCAGGTTGAGAAGAAACACAGTTCAAGGAGACGCGTCTTGAAAAGTCCGTCGTGCGATGGTAGGCGGATTCCACTGGTTGTCGCCAATTGCAAGTGAAGAAGTAGGATTCTAGCGAGTGAACCTGATAGAAACAATATTTTTTTGTGTATTATCTGCTCTCATTATCCGATCTCTCCTCTTCACGGTAGATGGGCAAAATATTTTCATTCAAAAAGTATTGCCAGAAACTTCCGGCGACAATACGTTCACTGTTAAAACGGTTTATCTGCTTTATTTACAAGAGTAGTACGAAATGAGCAAGAAGAGTTGCTGTTTCACCGAGCCCTTCGAGTGAAGATATACCAAATCCACGCCCCTGTGGCGAATGCCGCGAAGAAGCGACGTCCTTCAGGAATCGGTTGAAAGAGATGTTAGAACTTATTGTGCAATTTTGAACTGTCATCTGTTTGTCGGTTACTCGTTTTGACATTGTTGACTTTTGATACTCATATTGAGAACTCGATAAGGATTAGTAGATGTTTGAAAATTTGTAAAATTTTTATGTAAATAAATAAATCACATATTCATATACGAACCTTACTTATTGCGTAGGCTTGTTTGTGATATGCTGGTATGTAGCGGTCCAACTGCAGTTAGAGAGGTCACACCACAGTAAAGTGATGTGTTCCTCTTTCCGAGCTCAGAAGTGCGCAGACGATCATCGGGTAGAGGTTATCCGATGTTTGTGTGAAGTTCTCAGGGAACAAGTCGGTTTACAATCAGGGTACAGCATCGTGATGGGTGAAAAGGTGGTGTCAGTGCGACTCTCGGAGGCTACTGGGTTGGGGGGGGGCGGGGAGGGAGTGAGGTGCATATAGCCAAATATGAGGAGGGAAAACTTTTGGAAATTTTCCAACCTTTCTAACCACGTTTACCGCTTCTCCGAAAATTCTCTTACTTTGTCCCCAAGAGGGTTTCGCTGATCGAAGCGGAAGGAGTGGCGAGGGAGAGTTTAGAGGCCAATGACTGATCGGAAACGCGAAACGTCATCTAACGAGAAAAAATTTTTTCCAGCACAACAAATTCTCTTAGAGCACATTCCCTGCTTCTCAAACGACCAAATACGACCACCCCTCCACAGCGAAAATGTACGACCCCCTTGTGTGTTTCACACAACGATGCTGTACCCTGTTTACAATAAAGAATTTGTACAACTGCGCACACATCTCTGAGGCCATATGTTAGACGGGTGGGTGTGCAGCTGCAACAGCGTGTCAACTTCTTCCCTCAAGTGCATGGGGACGTGGCAGCTGTGGGTAGTGGTGCCCGAGTACCGTCTCCACACTTACCGGACACCTTCCTGTTCACTGTTTACGTGGCATTCAACGACTTATCAATTGTAATAGCGCAGCTGCGCGCATGCAATAAATAAAAAAGAAATACATCGCCCGCATCATCCTGAAAGTGCAGCGCTTGTGTCGATACAAAGGTCCCCCGCGAGGAGACGTGCAACAGAATCGTCCGGGCAGCGCCCGCGGCGCGTCGCGCGGCGAATGACTCAGCAGCTCACTTACGTGCATTTGCTAGCCGATAGCTTTGCGACTGGAGCAAATGATTTACTACAGCGTACATCCGCAACATTTAGCAGGTTTCATCAATCCTACTATATATAATCCGCTAAGTTTGTCTGTTGGTGTGTGTGTGTGTGCATGTCGCGTAGGTAATTGTGTGTGTGTGTGTATTGACCGGAAATTCATCACTTTCGGTAGCGATAAAGCGCTCAAACTTATAAGTGATGTAGAGAGGTCGGGCAGGAACACTGTTGGTGGGTGGCAGGAAGTGATAACAGTTGATAAGATACCATAAGGGGCCTTATAAAGGCAAAGTCAGCAAATTCATAACGCGCGTCACAGCAAAGCTAGAGCGTTGGCTCCAAGAAGTAAGATAGGGGCAGGATGGGAACATTATTGGAGGGTGGCAGGACGTGATAACAGCTGATAAGATACCATAAGGAGCCTTGAAAAGGTGGATTACCTAATTTTTAAGCACTGGCCACAGGTTGCGACTTGGGACGATGGTTCCAGAAGTTAGATAGGGGGCAGGATGGGAACATTTTCGGTGGGTGGCAGGAACTGATAAGAGCTGATAAGATAGCACAGGGGGTTCTAGAAGGGAGGGTCACCAAATTCATAGCACCGGCCAGAGCAACGACGGGACCTTGGATCCAAGTAGTAAGACAGGGGGCAGGATGGGAACATTATTGGTGGGTGGCAGGCAGTGATAACAGCTGATAAGATACCATAAGAGGCCTTACAAAGGGAAGCTCATCAACATTATAAATTGCGCCACAGCGACGGTAAGGTGTCGTTTCCACGAAGTAAGATAGGGGGCAGGATGGGAACCTTATCGGTGGGTGGCAGGACGTTATAACAGCTGATAGAACAGCCCTTAACAACACGAGTCGTAGCAACACTGGGAACTACCCTCCAGCAAGTGATTCAGACGTTTTTAGCGAACATGGTGGGAGACTTTGGTGGCAAGAGACATGTTGTGATACTGCTCCTGACAAGGGCTTAGAGTTAGTATCTGTCCCCCTCCCTACTCTGCTTGCGATTGAGCTTCACCACTGTGGTCCAGGAATCGATGAGCAAAGGCTTGGTGAGCCAGGCACTTTCTATCCTTGAGCTATATAGACCAAATTGATTCAACCGCTAAACTCTAAAGATTCTTCCAAAAGTAAAAGCTTAAAGATGTTTGTCAGTGAGGAGTGATAAGGGCCACCAGCAGACGGACTGAAAGCTGCTCAACGGAAACGCTAGGAAATAAGTAGCTTCCACCAAGACTTGGATAATGTTACCACCGAACTTCTTTCAACCGCTGAGTTGCCCTATTTCCATCAAATGGTGGGTGTTTTTAGAAACGTGATAAGCATCAGAC